TGATCGAACTTGACGTGCTTTTTTCGCTCTTGGTGACGTTGAATGCTTCCAGGTGGACGATTGTGCTTTGGTTTCGACATCATAACCGTACACCCATGTTTCATCACCAGTTATGACCCTTTCAAGCAAACTTGGATCGTCGTTGACGTCATTTAACAGCTCCTGAGCGATGTTCATGCGATTGTTTTTTTGGTCACAATTCAGCAGTTTTGGAATGAATTTTGCTGCCACTCGTTTCATGCCCAAAACATTTGAAAAAATGTTATGACATGAGCCAATTGATATGCCAACTTCATCAGCAACTTCTCTAATTGTGATTCGGCGATCATTCATAACCATTTTTTCCACTTTTTTCACATTTTCATCGATTATTGACGTGCAGGGTCGACCGGAGCGTTCGTCATCTTCAACGTCTTCGCGGCCATCTTGGAAACGCTTATACCACTCGTAAACACTTGTTTTTTTCATAGCAGACTCACCATAGGCTTTTTGTAACAGTTCACACACTTTGTTACACTTTATTTCATTTTTTACGCAAAATTTAATACAAATTCTTTGACTCTTCAATTCTTCCATTGTTTAAACAAGCAAAAATCGCCGAGCTCATAAAAACACGTCGAACCTTAGCGACTACCACAGACAAAGTAAACAGTGAATATAGCTGAAAATTTGATCATACTTTAGGGGCATGTATATCAACACAATAGAAAAAAAATTGACAATCGGACTCTCCACACCCGCGAAATTTAAAAATTCCGGGTACTTTTTGAACACACCTTGTATAATTACACGTTGTCTTCTTTTTTAGTGGACACTTTTTACTACCTTCTAATTAGTAGACTTGAATTTTAGAAATAATTAACTTTCTCGCTATTATTTCATGATTTCTTATCGTGCAGACAGTACAAAGTCGCGAAGTAATTTCATGCCCAGATGACAACAATACCAAAAGAAAACATACAATCTCGCTAATAACGCAAATTTATAAAAACAACCGTTATGTCTTGAAGTAATAAAAACAAATTTTTAATTTTTTTTACCAATTGTGTTGAAAGATTTCCTAACTATAGTCAGTGAACAGCCCCTTCTTAATAAACCATCAGCAATGTAACTCATACCGACAGAGAGGAACCACATGGCAAGATAAGGTAACGCTGACAAAACGCCATTCTGGAAGTTGAAATTATAAACGATATGTAACACTTTGATAAAAAACCTCCCTTAATTTCTTACCGCTTGAATATTGAAATGTAAAATTTGTTTCATATATGTTGGAAGTTCCGTCATTAACATATCATAGCCGTAGTTATGACCGGAATTAGCGATGAGAATTGCCCAAAAAGGTAGTGAAGTGAAAATTGACATCCATGGAATGGTAATATCCTGCAATAATAAAATGTACATTGATTACTAGAAATGAATCACCCGTTTCACCACTTTAACTTACTTCTAATTCTGTTTCACGTCTAATTCTGATTGTCTTCTTATTCTGATTTTGACAATTTAAACGATTAACCTTTTTAACCGAGTGGTATGTTTTAGCTTATAATTTTAAATAAATAAGTACTTTGTATACCCATACTTACATTGCATCAGTAACCTAAATATAGAAAATGGTATATAGGGTGTCCTAGTTATAATAATTAATATTTATACCACAGATTCCTACGAGCATTTGGAACATAAAATGTTATAACACTTTTGACTTTTGAAACAAAATAAAAAATTATAAAATTATAACAGTTTTGATGCCGGCCCTGCACAATCGCAAATTAATTACGATTGCCAGCTGATCGTAGAAAAATTCACCGTCAGTAGGTCAGAATCAGCTGCTTTTTGGGGTAATGTTATTGTTTATTATGGTTTATTTAATATTATTAAGTTACGTTAAGCCGAAGAAAATGCACTCGCGTTAAGGTCCATTAGATGACTGAACATGTTAGAAAATAAAACGTATCTATCACAATCGAAAATCCCATGATCGTAAACTAAAATGGACCTAATGTAGCCCATGACGTCGAGTATATATTATTTTAAATAGAAAAGAAATTGTAACGACTACGGAATAGTTAGAAGCGGTGCACAAACAACCCTAGCCACCCAGCGTTTGGTAAAGGTTTTGTAACATAACGTAGTAGTGTACGGAAACAAATGTATGTGTTATGGTTGTAAAAGTTTAGACAAGATCCAGACCTACTTTGAACCCCACGTGGAGTATACAAGGATGTGTCCAGAAAGACCAAGTGGTTATTTTGTTTTCATTAAATGTAGAAAGCTAAATATTGATATAACCTCGTATAATTACACTGCTGAAAGTGACTGGAATAAATATTCATAATGTCGTAGTTTCTAAAAAGTTGTTCAGTTTGCTTTGGATTGTTGTGGAATTTACTGGTTTGTTAGTATTAGTTTATTTATTTAGTGGTCATTTCATAAAAGACTATTACAATAAGGACAATTAGTAGTGTGATAGTGCATTCTAGTAGAGTTCTTATTCAACAGTCAGTTGGTGGTGATGCCTATCGTATAATTCGAAATCTTCCCGGTATCTGGGTCGAAATTCGCAGCAACTGGGTACACCGCTGCCAATGCTGAATTGAAGCGAATGGCGGACAATTTCAACACTTTTTATAAAAGGTACGCCTTTCTTTTTCACGTTTACCTTTTTTTTATATGGTCGAAGTGCATTCGGCTTATTCCCGGTAGGTACTTGTTACTTGTTACATTCACACTAGAGCACCTGAGCAACGTTAGTCGCCTAGATCCAGACCCGTAATGAAACAAATTGTATGTTCAAATTTACAAAGACGATTTGCGAGCTCATTTGTCATTGGATTGAAAAATTGTATAACACTTTTTTGTTGTGTTTTGTGTCAAGAAGCCATGTTTTCTTCTAATTATTATAAATGGGACACCCTGTATAGATGTTACGATAGCACGAATTTATAATGGTAGCAGTGTTAACTTACTAAATTGTGAGTTGTTCCCCAAATGCTTCTCTGAATGTATTTTCTTTCTACAGGATGAATTCCTGGATGGCACCCTGGGTCTTCATAAGTAATAGCGAGAAATGCTATTGACCATAAAGTTCCAATTGCCCCGAAAATGTAAAAAATGGAAGGCCATCCAATAAGAGAAGCTGACAACCAGCCACTTATTGGCATAGCTATAACAGTTCCGAATTGAGCTCCTGAAAAAAAATCAAAATTAATAAAGGCAGTTATAATAATAAACCCAAAAAGGAGAGTAATTTTGTGCACAGTTAGTGGGAAGACTTTCTAAATAAACATACTTAACACACTATACAACATCTTGATATACATCCGACTTTCATTTTTGTTTGTATATGGTTCGATATTGGGGTTTTCAGTTAGATATTACATTTATAGAATTGAAATTTTTATATTCACAAAACAGATTAGAAACCACTTTTGATATTCTACAAGTTAGGTACAAAATTTAACAATAACTGTCTCAAAACTGTTCGTGTCCTTTCATCAATTCGTTTCACTCAAAATTCAGTTTCTTTTTAACGTCGCTTTTTTTGAAATAATAGTTTCTTTAAGAATCAAAATCTTTTGTTTCGATTTCGAGAAGGGTTTCTTTTGTGCCTATGCGTAAAATGGTGTTATGGATGGCACTGTTATAAATGATGAAGTAAAAAGTGTAAACAAATTGGTCAGGGTTGACAGCAAGAAGACTGTCATAAATTCATGTCTTGTAATGTACAGGTCCATCGAGGACTCAAAGCGATTCATTTTATTGCCCCATAAATGTAAACTTTCACTGGAAACTAGGTCAGATGGTGAAATCTGGGACTATTGTGTCTACCAGAACTACCCCCAGTGGTAATGAGCAATGAAGCTTGTCATCCATAATATTTAGGAAGGGACTCCTACACTCCACCCCCTTTATTTGCATAGTTAAGTTTATTTAAGTCTTAGTTTTAAGTTTCTAAGACAGACTCACAAGATCCAGACACACAAAGATTCAGACTCACGAGATTCAGATTCAGATTAAGATCATGTAAAGCAAAGAGTCTCACATTAGTTCGATGTATATAGTGTAATTAAAGGTGTACAGTAGATGTAAGTTCAATATAAAATTCCACAATTTAAACGTCTATGCGTTATTATATCAAAACTAAATGCACCGCTTATTAGTTTTGGTGGTGCCGCTTTATTCTGCCCTACTGATAAGTATCAGCAGGATATTGCCGAAAACGAGCCCTTACAAGGCGACGAAACAAAGACCATCTGATACCTTGAAAAGTGCATAACTTAAGTCAAAAATATCAACACATTAAGATGCGCGACATTACAACGTGGTGTAGCGATACAGATCGAAGTTTAACATTTTGGTCTATGCTTTTCCGTGGATTTCTTGGATCATTTGAGGATGTAGGCAAATACTGAGGCATAAGATTGCACGGATAGGCCTTCACGTCTGTTCCGTTATATCTACCGTCTCATTTGTATTTCTCCACTAACGATCCACCCATTTTCATGAGTTCAAGTAAAGAAGGTTAAAGAGAACGAACGCCGAAGATGCTGTCCGCTCACCAGCATTAGGTGGGAATAATATACACAAACGTTTTGTACGTACTCAACGAGAGAATGTTCGACCAAAATTCAAATCACAAGATATAGCATTAATCTAACACTCAAACAGATTATGTGGAAATTATTATAAAATACGTAACAATTAAGGAGTATTAAGTCAAGCATTTAGTAATCCTTACCTGCGTAAGCAAACGACCCCATCCGACTTCTTTCTTCAACGGGAATCCATTTCGATAGAAGCACATGAGTGCAAGGAACGCTAGGACCCTAAAAATATAAAATTTCTTTACTTACTCGTTTAGCTTAATACGAAAATGCTGTTTATCGAAATTACTTATTTATTTACTTCGTGGCAGTTTCTGTACATATAACTGCACTTCTGTTTCTATTGTGTTATCGTGCAATAATGGTGAATTTATCCTTCGGAAACTAAATGGATACTCTGAAGGTAAACAACATGCAGTTCATAGTTAGTAAGTAGACATTTTTACCTATTTTCAATAGGCTCATAGTAGTGTATCATTACTACTATTAATTATCTTAGGGGTATTACCAATTCTAAAGGAATTGATTACAAATTTGCCAAAACACGATGTCATACTAAATGTCAACATTGAATGAGTACAGAATGAAAGAAACGCGTATGATAATAGACAACAATAGCCAGACCGACAGTTTACGAATATTAGATCTAGTCGATTATCGAGGCAATGAATATTTTATAAAAGCATTCTTGTATTTTTTGTTTTAATTTATAATTATATGCGCAACTATACTAATTTTGTTACATATGCGTTATATGTATACATTTACGCATATAACATTTTAAGTTAAAAATACCAATGTTTGTATATTTATATACATTAACGATCTTTATTACCTCTCCTAAACCTTGAATAAATCGAACTATAATGAGCCAGACGTAACCCCAATCTGCAGCAAAAGGGACCAGGAAACCGAATATAGAATTTATTAGCATTCCATAACCTAAAAATTTTATGGCTCCATATTTTTTTGATAAGATTCCAACGGGAATTTGAGTAAGCACGTAACCGTAAAAGAACGAACCCAAAATATGACCTTGGACATCCGACTCCCATACATAGTTTCCATCAGGCAAAGATGTGGAATGCTGAAATTATATTGAAACTAAAGTAAAAAGAAATGTAGAAACTTAATCCTAAAAACAGGATAGCTGCGCACTTTCAAAAAGTGACAGTTTTGTGGTTAAAAATTACGCAAAGGTCCAAGACCTCAAAGCCGCCAGAAAATGGGTGGGATGGAGCAGTATTAGTATGTACTTTGAACATAAGCCGACAATCAATTTGTAGATATCAGGTGCTAAAGGTGCTAAAGGTACATCCTTAAAAACATTACTTGCTTTTCTGAGAGTCTAAATATCAATTTTTACATAATGTTTCACAGAATATTGTTAAAAATTAATGTAAGCAAGATAATTAGATGGCTTTTAAAAATCGGTACTCAGACTTTAAGAATAGTGAGTTATGTTCATACCTACGTACTGTAAGTGTTTAGGAACCTTATTTGTGACATGCTGACACAGGGACTTTATGGCATAAACCTTTTCATATTTTATTATAGCTTTAGTGTAAAGTTTATTATTATTGGAAATATTTCCGAAATCTACGGTCACGTAGGCAAATTCGCAGAAGCACAAATGAGGGTTTACCCCATGGTTAGTATATTGTGCATTGGTATTACTGTCAATAACCTCGTTATTAAGAGGGATAATTTGTCGATTTCGGAATCTAGTTTTACAAAATTTGAGTTCCATTGAACAGTTCTCTTGTAGACTCGCTGAGAGTAACTAAACATTTGTTATTTTAATAAGACAGCAATAAAATTTCAATATTTATAATAAGTTAGAAGAGGTCGTAGTTGTAAGTTGTACAATAAATTCGTTATATTTACAACTCGGCGTTTCTATGGTCCTTCGAGTTATATATGGTACAATTGTACAAAAAGTTCGAATGAATAATTTGAATATTTCGAACGTAAAAAACAGTAGGAAAGTTATTTATTCGACATTTATTTACAATTTGGGCTAACCAAATACTAATAACTAATATATGTAGAGTGAAACGAAACAGGGCCGTTGAAAGAGAGCTTTTTAGTTAACGGCAATGGTGAAGTGGCAGTCGGTGTGTAAGGATGTGTAAAGCTCCATAAGGGCGGTGGATACTCTGGTGAGAGAATACGGTGCCGTAAGGGTAGTGGTTACTTTGGTGAGAGAGTAAGATACCGTAAGGGCTGTTGTTAATCTCGTGAGAGAGTAAGGTGCCGTAAGAGCAGTTGATAACATTGAAACAGTTGGTTATTGTGCACATATTATGTATTTTAAGTGTTGTTGTTGTTATTGAAATGTAAAGCCTGTAGGTGGATGGCTGACGGATCGGAGACACCCTTAGGTAGAGTGTACATCCTGTGCGTCAGGTAGTCCACTGCAGATCTAGTTAGATATGCCTGGAGTGGCAGTGCACCTGTGGGTGACGTGGTAATGAGAGTAGAAGTCCACTCCTTGACCTGTCGTATACAGCACTGGTCTAAGTGTCGGTAAAGCTTCAGTGATATCGGCACAAGACCATTGCTTAGCATTCGGGAGGACGCCGGTTCGATTGCGGGTCCGTCTGCCTTGGTCCAAGTTTTTCTGTGGTTTCCTTAGATCACATAGGCAAATGCTGAGGCAGTAATATTCCACAGATAATCTTTCATTCTCTTCTGTCTCATCTTTCTCGTCCGAACCACCACCCACCCATTCCCACGATTCCTGAAAGCAGGCTGAAGAGGGCCTTCCACCCTACCTTCCGGCGTAGTCCAGCATTACTGGCTGGTGGGAATGAAACACCTAAAAGTTTTTTTTTTGGCACAAGGGCATCCAGTAGAGGGATAAGTCACTACACATAGCTTGCCAATGTAAAGATAAGCATTGGGAGCGATCTATGCATTAGGCCAATGCATACAATGCCTGGTTATTTAGCTGGGACCTAGGTGTGGCAAATACCTATTGTTTCGGGTAGTCTACAATCTTCATCAGGAGTACTCGGACACAACATTACCGAATTCGACTACGTTGGGACATCACAAAGGCGGTCCCAACTGGGACGTCGGCCCCCGTAAGTGCTTAAACTATGTATTGCATTGTATTGTTCTAATTGAGGGTTTTGTTTATTTCCTTACTTGTTATTTTACACTCAACGCCCCATGCCACTTCGCAAGATGTAACTCTGAGGCGAACCCACTGGTTGCTATGTAAAGCTGGTAGGAGGAAATAGCTGTAAGGCCATCGGTAAATATACTTGATGGGTGATAAGTTAATTAAATAGGTGAAATATAACATCATCCATAATAATAATAAAAATCGCTCTTACAATACTTTTAGCACCTAATATGAGCAAATTAGCCTTCGGCCTAAGTTAGCACGTTCAAAGTGTCTACATACAAACAATACTCTATCTATCTCTCTCTGTGTATTATGTATTCATAGAGTGACTGATGAAAAATAATGATTAGTTATATAACATATTATTGTAGATTCAAAATCATTTACATCAACTCTTTTCCTAAATACATAGCAATTTGTTTGAGGTTTGTATATTTGTTAACGAAATAATCTTTTTCCCAAGCAACCCAAGTTTAATAATTTAACTTAATAATATATTTGGTAATAATAATAAAACCCATGATGGCCAAAATACCTGCATATAGACATAGAAAAATTTCTAATTTAAAGATTCATGTAAGGTGTTTTATTTAGGTTAGTATGTAAGTTCTATTTCAGTAAGTAGACAAAATAGATGAAAGTTTAGATTTCAACTGGCTGCTTCATATATTAAATTTATCGTATGGGTCCAAAGGTCTACTTACTAATAATCAAATCGAATCGAAAAATTCAAAGGCCTCGCATATTTCGCAAGTGTGTAAGGCGTTTTGAAAATATCAAAGGCAACTGCCGGAATCTGTCCAAAAATAAAGCAAATATCTTTGCTGTTTAATTTCATCCAAGACATTTTATTATCAAATCAGTAGATGATGATTGAATGACAATCGGTGGCGTATCGGGAAAAAATAAAAATCCATAAAATAGAATAAATTTACGCAATTTCATACAATTGAAATTTTTTCTTGGAAATAACCAGATGGTAAGGGTCGCGAGATGCAAGTTTGAGACTTCCGGGCATTCTTAACAACGCTACTTATCTAAAATGTTAAACGGATGAAACTATAAGGAATTGCCTTTTCCGAAAAAAGCGGATCGTCGTGATTACATTCCCAAAACCACCTCCAGACCAGTCTCAACTAAAAATTTCATAAAATTCCCTAGGAAAAGTGATTTTGTACAAGTTGCTTTAAGGATTTACGCAGAATAATGATTGCGATTGTGATTATTCACTAGTAATTCTTTTTTGTGCAAATTTCGCATTTTCATGGAAATTTAGGGTTAAAGCGGAATTTCTTTGTTTCTCGTGCGTCGATGTTTAAAATCTCTTAATTGTCGCTCTATAATTTCGAGATCCATTTGTAGTAAAAGGTGGGTCGATAAAGTTTAAAGCAATGCGGTTTCTTTTCATTAATTGTTTATGACCTAGTAAAGGTTTAGCAACCATTGATTGTCGACCTCGATCTGTCGCTCGACGATTTTATTTTTCATGAGATAAATTCCATAAGCTAGGCAAGTAACCCGCTCGCGAAACGTAAGCGCCTCTCGGTTATCATTTTAAAAAATGGGATTGCTCGTGCACGTCTTAACGTACAAACCCATGGTAAGGATCACGACAATCAGACAGTGAAGTGTTTGTTTGTATCGTTAATTGAAGTTAAAATCAAAACAGGCTTCCAAGAAAGTGATTTATCAACTTTTAGATTAAAAAGTTACAACAAAGGCAAAAAATTACTAGAACATTTTAATGCTAGTTCAGTTTCCGAAAAAAATGTTTCAAAATAATTTTCGGGAATTAATGAGGTCTGTTTCAAGACGCCTGCCCGATCTCTGCACATCCACCTTCAGTATTTATCACAAACCGAAACTGGTAATCTTAATTTTTTCCGCCCTACTTTCCATCCTTCTCTATATGATTCTAGTTAAGTTGCTTGACACATAAGAAGTTAAGCTAATTGTTCTAAAATTATCGCATCTATCCGCACCTCCCCATTAATATGACCATAGCCATATTTTATTTGTAATTATTCGTCATATTCTTCGTCTCGTAAATGTGACTAACTAGTTTAAATTAACTACCTCTAACCTCTTAACCTGCACGTTTCAAAACTTCCGCCTGTAACCTATGTATACTAGTGCCTATTTATAAATCTGGTACAAATTCTAAAAAAGACTCTTGGGCGATTCAGTACCACCTGCTATTAATGCTTGTGGACAGGCGGTACCTCCGGACTACGGTGGAGGGTGAGGCGGAAGTCCTTCTTCAGCCTCCTTTAGGAGTAATGAAAACGATTAGGTAATGGTTGGGATGAGAAATATTAGTTGGACGGAAATGAAAACAAAAGTGTCTAAAAGTTTATCTGTGGAATGTTACTATCTCGGCGTCTTCTTTAGTGATTCACAGAAAAACTTGAACCAGGGCAGACGGGCCCGAAGTCTAACGTGTGTTCTCCCGAATCCTAAGCAATAATCTAAACCTTTAGGTCATGCTGCTCGGTCAAAATCTAAAAAAAGAGTTACATAGTCTGATTTTATTACATAGTAGGAACGATAAAAAAAATTAAAGGAAATTACCTACAGAACTGACACGTTCAACGTTACGACCAGAATGATAGCCAAGGCTTGTATTTCAGAATGATAGTAGGTACCTTACTTTCATACAGGTATACTTAAAAGAAATAAAAAAAACTACGTTTTGGTGGGAATGCGTCTTGGTAACTAAATAGATAGAAAGATAAATAAGCCAGAAACAATTGCTAAATAATGCTACTAATTTGAAACGTACACGTATTTTGGACCCGATGTGTTCGGATGATAGGTGGAGTGATTTAATAAAATAATGCGTGAAAACGGTAAAGTATTTACATTACAGAAAATGACATAAAGACTAGAAATTTGAAAGTAGTAGTTGAAGTTGAAGTTGAAGTTAGGAAGCACAGGTCAGAACTAATTTTAGTTTTTGAAAAGAGATTATAGAAAGGGTGATAAGCAGGAGTTAGAAATAAGTGATTAAAGTAGTTACTAGTGAAATCTGGAAATGACGTTTAGAAGAAATACTGAGAAGTTAAGTTTGAACCCAAATAACCGAAGAGACCCATCATAAAATAGCAATTAGAAAAAGTAAAGATTACAGATGTCATGCAGTTAGTATACAGGGTTGAAATGTTATTAAGAGATTATAGGAAAGTACGAAGGCAATTAAATAGTCGTGTAAGAGAAGAATAGATACAGAGCGGGTAAAGAGTAACTATAGAAATAGAATTATAAGGAAAGAATATTTACACAATAATAAAATATAACACACAATGAAATTTACAATGATAACAACATACAAAGACATTTACAAAAATTCCAAACACACAAATACAAGTAATACGGTTTTCACATACATCGACAAATATACAAACACACACTCAACACTTCACTTTAAAAAATAATAATTGTTTTTGTAAAAAATATAAAATCGCTACAGTACATTATAGTGTAGAATATCTAGAGAAATATGGATAGTCGAAGTAAAAAACTTTGAAAAGAGAATAAAAATTATGCATATAAAGGAAAGAATAGTATCAATCGTTACTTTGCTGGATCTTAAAAAAACTCCAAAGAGAAATAAGATTAAGAGCGAAAACAGAAAAGCAAAAGAGAAATTACGTTAGGATGGGTTACCAAAACATTTTTATAAATGGTATGAGATGGGTTTGGTAGAAATCGTAAAATGTTAAAATCAACTGTGGAGCACGCACAGGATAAAAGATTGAACAGAGAAAAGACAACGAGCAGAAAGATGACAGGATTACAAATGATTCAAAACAAAAGGATTCGGAATATGTAAATATATGAATTTCTGTTTTCTTTGTTAACACAAATAGCTTGTACGGAACTTATAAAAGAATTTGAATAAGTTATTAATTTCATACAACTGTTGAGAATCACAATCACTAGCAATATCTTCGTTTAAATATTTAAGCATGTCTTAACTTGTCATTTATTTGTCAAATTGTCGCGGTATCAGGGCCAGAAACGTCTCATTTTGTATGCGCAAATATTGATGTAGAAAGACTGGAAACATGATTTTATAAAAAAATTAATGCAATATTAGTACATAAAACAAAATTGATTGAAATCACACCAAAAACTAAATATGAAAGCGAAGTCAAACTATACTTGGTTAATACCTGAATGGGCTGGTAGGAGTATTGAGGTCCTACACATCAAAGTTAAATACCTACCTTGAGATGTATAAAGGTGAATGTACCGGGTATGTTTATTTTATTCCTCTGCCGGCGCCCTGCATGTTGCTTAGTTGTTAAACTTGATGATGTTTGTACATCAATGGCAACATAAGCGTATTCATAAAAAGGTAGAAAAATGATATAACATAAATCAAGATCTGAACAGATCACAATGTTTATGTTGCAATGATAATGTTATTTTAGTTTCGTTCGTTCCGTCTTAATAATAATGCAATATTTAATGTTATCATAACATTGTTAAGTATATAAAAATAGAATTGGATGAATTTAAGGCATTAATTGAAAATGTGAGATGAACTTACCCGTGTATCGGTTTTATTGTCTGTACTATTGCTGTTTAACATTAAAAGGCCTGTGTGATTTACCATGGCTACTATAGCAACGGACATGTTAGTTCTCATAATATAAGCATTCGCCATTCCTAAGAACAACATAAACGTTACTGTGTGACGTGTTCCCCACCATCCTGAAACAAAGAAACATATCCAAATAGAGGTAATGTATCCATTTCGTAAGTATTTGCTGCTACTGAAGTATATTAAACGTTAGACAAAGCCTTACTAAGGTATTTCAATTTGTCTAAGATAAATGTAAACAGTTTAGGCAGGCAACACTATGTAAATGCAAGAACATAAAAGAAACAAACAAAGGTACATTGAGATATTGCCAAGGCGCCTAATTTTTTTTACGAGTGGTTGTAGGCAAGTAACGTTACCAAAAAGGTAAATATGTCTCCAAAAATTTTCCACCACGCATTTACCGAAAACAATTCTTAAAATCGCAAATGATGTACCACTTGCGACTTTGCGTCGTACCATTAGTGATTATTATGGAAATTCAAAATTCCATCTCGCGTGAAGCAAATTTGTTTGTAAACAAAACTCTATGAAAATAGTTAGGCAATGCAGCACCTTTGTGTCACATGAAAGGATCCAACGTTCCCTGCTATTTCGAGTGTGTACGAAGTAAGTCTTGTTGATTGACATTTTATTGTTTTTATATTTCTGCCTTATTTCACTAAAGAGATTAGAATTCTTGTACTTGAGCCGTACAATTCTCATTAAGAAGTGGCTATTACGGAGTGCTTGAGCCGGTAGCAAAAATCCCTTAATTAATTATTAATTACCTGACGGAGTGCTTGAACTGTACATGGTGCTGTTGTGGAGTGTTAGAGTCACACAGTGTGTTAAAATTCTTTCATCCGTTACTTTATTTTACCACTATCTCCGTTGCATCGCAAGGTACCTTTTTTGTTGTTAGTAGTTTAGCACTCGTGGGTGACAGACACGAAGTGTTCCAAAAATAGTTTTAAACAGAGAAGCCTATAGAAGTATATAAAACAGATGACATTTAAGAGAACTGGTCGCTCATACTCTTCTTTTGTTCTATTTCGCGCATCGTGTAACCTTGTACTGAGTTTTAGTTTTGTTTTGTAAAATAATTCCTATATATTACTTCAATTAATATTTTTTTGGGAGTCTGAAGTAATTTGTGTCACGAGTGTAATATTTTGGAGATTGCCTTCTTTGAAATCAAGGATTTCGTCCCTACAGAGGTGAAGGGTTTAAATCCGTAAATACGTATCATCTCGCTTTACTTCAACAATAGCTGCTTTACATTGACATAGATTCTGACCTTCGCTAATGACTGATATTTTGTATTGCTGAATTAGTTTATTGAACTGCACATTGTTTGCATCGTGCCAGATTTAAATAACAAATGAATAAGGCTACTAGAGGCTGACTGTTAACAGAAACAGCCTAAATCACAGTTAATCTAATCTAACAAATAAATATTATATGAGTAAAAAGTTACAAAACAAATGCTGCACTGATTCTGGTAACTGACACCTGCTTGAGTGCGGCGTTGCGGGCACGAATTAAATTTACCTGTACTTTCAACTACGTTATTCTTTTGCACCCTGTATAACTTGGATCTAAAATAACGAATGATAATAATCATACTTAGTGCCTTATTTGTAATTTAGTTATTACACTTCTTTCGTAGAACTCAGTAAAAAGGAACGTGGTTGTGAACAGTCGCGCACTCTAGCGAATTAGAAAAGGAAGCATACAAGTTTTTTCCTCTTCTTCGTCCAATATGGTATACAAAACAACGTGAAGTTATTGAATGCTAGTTGATGAATATATGTACGTGTAAGTAGATCATTAACATTCAGAAAAAGTTGATGAACTACTCTCCAAGCAATATAGTAAAAATTTATTATTTTATAGTAATCTTTTTAGCCCTATTTTGGACTAAATTACATGAACTTAATAATACATACATTCTAAATAAGAAGTATGATATGATTTAATATTCTTTAATCCCTCATTGGTACTATCTACTAATCTTGAAAAATGTATAAGATGTATAATTAAAAATTTCTAACCTTCACTTTTCTCTCGACGTTGAGGTCTAATCGGTTCATTAGCAGGTCCATCGAGGCTCATCTTCTTTCAATTCAACGTACCTGAAATAACAAAATATTTATTTGCATTAGAACAAGTGGTACCATAAGAAATGGAGAAATATCCCTCCATAAATGGTTTCCAGCCTGAACATAAATTATGGAATTATTGCAATCCGGATAATTTAAAGTTTGTACCGTTTTAATGCAGCCTTGAAAAATTGGACAAAGGATTTACGGTAATAAAATTTTAATAAGTTATACTCATATAACAAGAGATTAAAATAAAAAGTTTGGCCTGATTCGAGTCTAAGGGCTGCCGTCGGTTGAAGTTGCTTCCTAACGTTTCGATAGCATGATTGGCAAGCATCTTCAGAAGTCCTTCCATCACCAATGTTGGATGTGGACTGGCAACTTCTCAAAAGACCTACTTTTGTGTGTTTCATTCCCATCAGCCAGTAATGTTTTTGGGCGGGTAATCCCTCCTTACTACGCCGAAAGGTAGAGCGAAAGGCCCTCTTTAGCCTCCTTTCAGGAGTCGTGGAAATGGGTGGGTGGTGGTTTTGGTAAGAAAGATTATTTATTATATATATTATACCACAGAAAAACTAGACCAAGACAAACTGACTCGGAATCGAACCGACGTCCTCCTGAATGCTAAGCAATGGTCTAAACCTCTAGGCCATGCCGCTTGGTGGCGATTTCTCGTGCGCAAGTTATATTTATGCCGGTGAGTAGGTGCTTATTTCGGTTGCGTTAACCGTAGCTTGCCGATTGGTATTAACTGGGTGTTCTAGAGTGTCCTAGCCGGCAGTTTGCTTTTTGCACCTCGAGTCTTGTTACTATCGATCTCTTGGTGGCTTCTATGTAGACCTTTCCGCAGGAACAGGATATACAGTAAACCCCTGAGGCTGAAAGAGGGTCCCCCTTGTCCTGAGATGATCTGATGGGCTGCTGAATCTTCTTTATCGGTTCGAAGATGGTTCTGATGTCGTATCTCTTTAAGACTCTGTCAATTCTGTCCATAACTTTTGGAAGATATCGTAGATATACTAGAGAGAGAGGGTGCACCGCTCGTTGATCTCTGGTGTCTTTAATCTATTCATTGATCTCTCGGTCTCCCTCCTTTTGTAGCCATTTGCGTTCGGTTCGCAGGTCCTTCTAACTCGTTCAGTCAGGGTCTTTATTATACCATACCTTTGACTTGGATGGTGGTTGGAAAAGGCGTACAGATACGTGTCCGTGTCTGAAATTTTCCTGTATGGAGGAAGTGGTTCAGCATTTCCATTCCATGTCCCCAAATTACGAAGGTGTCATCCAAATATCTGTTCAAAGCAGTTGGTTTGCACTTCAAAGTTTCAATGGCTTCCTTCTCCGTGAAGAGATTGACTATGACCAGAGTTACTGAGCTTCTCTTTGCTACCTCATCTACCTGTTTGGATGTAAACGACACTAATTCCCACATCAGATTGGAGCAACAATGCCAGGTGTTTCGTTAAGTAGTATGTTGGTGATCCGTGGGCACTTATTATAGGTCTCAGAGAAACATTAGCCTTGTGGATGTTGGGTAATTCCCGGTGGAACTGTTTCTGTCCTCGGAATACGACTTTGGACGTTTTCAGGTTGGGATGATGACTTGATGAGTCGGTTAACAATGCGTAATCTCGCTTGCATTGGGTCTTTCTTCAAGGGTTTGTTGTTTTTAGGATCCAATATTTCTGTAGTAGTCCTCGGTCTTCAGAAGGACGGTTGTGTTTCATTTGTCAGCCGGGAGTAGGATAATATCTTCATAGTTGTTAAGGTTTCGTAGTGTCAGTGTTTCATTCCTTGTTAGGTTGCTTCTGGGAGGCATTGGCTTCCTGAGGACATTGACCGTCTCTATTGGTATTCCTTCGACATCCTCGCCTGGTAGATGCTTGATAGCTGCTTCCATGCTGGAGATAATGTTTGGTTTCCAAACGGAATGTGACGAGGAGTGATTGCTCGCCACTTGTGCTAGCAAAACATTAGGAAACACCTACAACCGACGACGGCCTTTAGACCCCCAAAGGCGGGGCGGGATTTCGATCTTGCTGGATTTCTTCAGCATGTCATACACAGTTTTGACAAAACGCAGACCAACTTAGTTCTTATCTCTAAACAGCATTTGACGGATAAGTACGGATCTTTATGAAATGCTATTTATTGTGTTCGACAGGGTGCTAGTAAGAACTAATAGAAATATCGATTTGACAAACTGAACTACTGCGCGGTGGGCACGTCATAAGTAGAACAAAATTTTCTTCGTGGCCAGTATTCTGCCGAACGTTCCAGTTGCGGATCGCGATTTAGATCTCATTGGATCTCGTTATCACGCTGTAGGCTGTTCCAACGGAACACAAACTAATTTTCCTGCTATCATTAAGCTTATTTATTTAATAAGGGGTTTCTTTAACAATAAAAATCACATTTTATAAAGAAATAAAGAGGAGAAAGTTGCACAATAACTATAAGTTATTTAGTTAATCGGATGTGAAAGAACGTATTTTACAGGTATCTATCCATAATAGTAACAGTCAAGCTAATTCGTACTCATATAGAATTACCTATATTGTAAGAGCTTTTTAGAATTTAGTAAAATCCTATTTTAATTTTCAAAAAGACATAATTTTGTACTAATTGTTGTAGTGTACAATAAATTCTGACAAAATTTATGTAATATTATATATACGTATTATATTAGTATTATAACAGTTGGTGGTAAAACAAGACTCATTGGAAGAAAACGTAAGTACGGACAAATAAAACAGTAATATCGCCAAAAAGTTATAAAAAGTAATACTGGTAAAATCTTTACTTTTTTTAGTACCTTCTTATTACATGTATATAATAATCATTGAAAAATGAGTAGTTACGAAAGTAAAATTCAAGACCGAGGAAGTTCCTATTATGAGAAAGGAAGCTGCCTGATTTACACTAGTTACATATAATAAGCAATATTAACTAGTATAGACCAGTAAAAGCTGGACATCCCAGTAATATCTATACCTATATTACTAAAAGAACAAATAAACAAAGGATCTTTCAAATAGAAATAATGACTAAAGAAAACTCATGATGTCTAACGAAGCCAATGCCAGTATATGATTGAAATTAATTACATTTGCTATATTTATAATCAATTTTTCATCTATAAAGCCAAATTAATAATATGAGAAAAAATATTGAGGAATTTACAAGAAGATATTAGAGCATGAATAAGAAAAGAAAACGAGTGGGAACCGACAATGGCGGAAAACACAATTCTCCTTAATTTATATAATTTGGCGAGTGACTGAGAATTTAGCTAACAGTAGATATATTACTTAGTAGAGGAAAACCAAAAACTGTCTCGAATGACATTATTAAGGTTTCTAAGTACACGTTTAAATTGATGTTGACCTACACAACCATTATGAAGCCACTCTCAAATAGATTTTCTTAAACTGCGATCGTTGGAATAACCTTCATAAATTTGTATAATATGTACAGATATAAGTAGGAGTAGATACACAGGGGCAAAAGATTAGTATGTTTAGATTTGCAGATGATATGGAAGCATCTAGCAAGGAGGAGTTAGAGATAGCTTTAAATAAAATGGAAGCGGTATTAACAAAATAGTAAAACAAAATTACTGGTGTGCAAGGGAAAAAAGTAGGGAAAGATGGAATATAAAGATAGGAGATGAAAAATTAGAAGTGGCCGATTTGAAGTATCTAGAGTATCAGATAAGTCAGGACGGAAGGAGTAGTAGATATATAAAGCAGATGATAGCGCAGGGTCGAGTCGCCTTCAAAAAAAGAAGTCACTTCTATGCTCGCGAACGATTAATTTAGAAATTTGAAAAAGGTCGTTAAAGGTGTATGTTTGCAGCACGGCGGTGTACGTATGCGAAACATGGACAGTGGGTGCGGCGGAAAAGAAAAGGTTAGAAGCGTTCAAAATGTGTTACAGGCGAATGGTGAGGATACCGTGGATAGAGAAGGTTAGAAATGAAGAGGTATTAGAAAGAGTAAGAGAATAGAGGACTCTATGGAAGTCAATAAGAAATAGACGAGATAGGTTGGTAGGGATGAAGGTCTAGTCAGAGACATATTAGAGGTAGAAACGGAAGTAGAGGTAGACCTAGATTAGATTACTGAAATGCAAAGATTAGAGCAGGATAGGAAAGAGTGGTGGTGCGTGTCCAACCAGTCTTAGGACTGACGACATTATGATGATGAAGTAAACAAATTTTAACATGTATTCTTGGAGGATGGTCGAATACAAAAAAAAAAATGCAAAACTAAGAAATATTGGAATCAGAAGAACTGGAAAATTATATCAATATCGGATAGATAAATTTGAAGAAGAATATGTTGCGACATATTAAGAAAGTGGCTATTTATATGTACAGTATATGCCCGCGATACAAAGAATGCTGAATATTATACCGTGCATGAATAGGCGTACAAATCGACAGTCGTGACGTTACGTTGTGATAGGACATCATTTCCGTTCCATTAAAGGTCGTCAACTTTCGGGTACGACTCAGTTGCTCAAAATATTCATGAATATTGGGACCTCGTGCAATAATTCTTTTGCCAACATTAGATGTTTCAAATATTAGTATTCTACAACGTTTACTTCAAATTTTATGTTCAAACTCTTTTATAAATCAAAGTTTTGTATTCAATATTTTATATTTTATTTCTGTGTGTAGTTTCCTTTAATCCCCTTTAACATCTTACTTACTGTATGAAGTCTGTACTTTTCAATCCTCCCTAATTAGTATCAGTTTTCTCTTTATTAGTTATTTTTCTAGACAAAAAAGTATTATTTTTTTAATTTACAATGTAGTTTAGAATGCAGGCGTTAAATGGTGATTTATAGAGCGGTGCTATTTGTAAATCAAATAAGAAAAATATACTGAATTATTAAATATACATGATTCTATATTAAATAAAGTGAAGCAGTGAATTGAACTCAACACAACGAATATTGACAATAAATAGACTTCTTAAGGAATAATTGTAACTGAACGCCTAAACGGCCTGTAAAATATC